CACCTGATTATGATTTGCCGTGGAAACCTGTCAAAAATAGCGCCGATTGCAGGTGTAACGCTTGCTGGGCGCTTGAAGCCGGAAGTGTCGTCGGCATCTCAACTGTTTGACAACCTACCTTTTGCGATTTTGATAAATTTTGAAGCGCATTAGTGCCTGGTTTACTGTTCCAGTATTTGGTTCTTGTAGTCAGACAACTCTGACTATCCCCAGGGTTCAGCAGACTATCAGACACGGGCGTGTGTCTTTTGCAGCAGGGCTATGCTACTGCAATTCCAACAGTCGTCAAGCGGAGGGAGATTCGCCCGTGTCGCTATTTATCTACTGGAAATATTGATCATCTGCACAAACCGTAAACACCCCTCTAACAAAAGGGGTAGTAGAACACCTGATGTAAATTCGGGGGCGTCGGTGGTTCGCTTCTGCTGCAGGGCACCTGTGATTTTCCTGTTTTAAGTCGCATTCCTTGTCATTGAGCTTTTGGGAAGCTGCAGTACCCACGTTGAATGCGAAGTTTTGATTATCTCCAGGGTTACTTCGTTTCACAAACTCATCAACGTCATATTTTCTGCCTCAAACCTTGTTAGAAGATTTCAGGTAAACTTTGCATGAGTTTCGACGTATACTTCGTTTCCGGCTGATGATGCAATTCATACTTGTCGTGGCCCCAGTAGCTGGAGTCCTCCACACATAACCCCCTTCAGTGGGTAACACCGGCATATGTCGACCAGAGTACTGCAGGTTGTTCAGCGAGGTTACTCAACAAGTAGTCAGGGTTTGCATTATTTTTTCACCCTATGCCTCATACAATTCTTCAATTTTTTGCTGTTTATCTTGTACAATTCCCTTGTCTTCCTCACTGTTCTCGGTCATTTATTGACTTCGACAGATGTCTTGAAGCGATTGCGCCCCTTTGTTGCTCTCTTTCCTCAAACCTTTATAAGTGCGTGTTGATCGCAGACTATAACTCATCAAAACAAACCCACCTTCCTGAGTTGTCTCAGGCTTCTTGGCTGAGAACGTTTATTGTAGGGCAGTGTCACCCAAACATTCAGAGGTGACTTCTGAGATTAAAAAAAACAAGGTCTTTCAAGTGCATCCGATTAAGGTTTCAGATTACTTTTTGTGCAATTTGATGGGTTACATGCAACGAATTTTCTGTGTATGGGCTTTGAATATCAGTAGCGGCAGGTAGGTAATATCACAGAATAGTGTTGTGGTGACGCCTCTGAAGGGCTTTTGGCTGCGCTTTGTCCTAATAGTGAGTCTCCCTCCCATGAATTGCGCCGTTCAGTTTTTCATGATTATTCATACTTGCAACTGTTCCGTTGCCAC